CATACCAGAATTAGCAATTGCGGCGAGATGAGCAAGGAGACAGAGCAAGAAAAAAGAAAGAAATGTCCTTACCGGCTTGCTCAGATGCTGGGTCGCCCTGTTCCTCATGATGGCGAGATGGGCAGGGAATGGCCTGCTAGCAGATGTCTTCTTGTCTGTCTCGCTGCCCGTCGGCCTCTTTTCCCATGCATTCCCGGCCGCCCAAAACTTCGCAGATGCACGTGATATCAATCACGTGCGGATATATTACTTTATGCCAACTTTCTGAGGCATCAAGAGCCTTTGATGACGGGCGGTTCTGATTGGCGGGACCAAGCTCGCTTGCAATTAGCGTTCTTTCACCGCCTCCACCAGCGGGTATATAATCTTCGCTCGCCCGCCAAACTTTTAGAATCTTTTCTTCTTTCTTTTCTTCATACTTACCTTGTTTGGGTGGCTGCGATCAAGAAGGCGGTCCACCACGGATTGGTCCCTGCATTGCACAGCGCGGCGGAACAATCCGTTCAACGGCCTTCGGGTCATTGACAGGCGTATTCTTTGGCACTCCTCCACTTTGTGGAATCATTTCTTTTCATCATTTCTTCGCCTTGCGCGGGGGTATGGAGAAGAGACAACTGTAGACCCTAAGCTGTAGTCATAATGTAAATCTGTTGTATTCCATCAGGGATGCGTGTCAGACAAGTGTCAATAGTATCTTCTATCCTTTGGCCTCACTGAAGAGAAGAAGGTCTGCTAATGCTGAGACGCTACTCGTCGACCCGCCACACACTACGGCTAACTAACTCCCGCTGGGCGTTTAGTTATTACTCCTATTGAGCCACTTCTGTCTAGAATGAGCTTCCTGTAGAATATTCTGGGGCAGGCAATGCTCAAGTCTTTAGTTCCGAACGTCAATTTAATTTCACCTTACTGGTAGGTTATATGTATGTTTCTGTGAACCAGGGAGCCCATATGAGAAGTCAACTGCTTGGTACTGGTTGAATTATATATCTCTGACTACCATTCATCCGATGGAGATATACCACGCTTTCCGTGCTTGTAACCGAGCATACTGGAAGGTTGTCAATCCATTGCAGACCCAATCCTGCCGGGCGATGTTAGTGGACTGCAGGTGCTGTTTCTGAAGCTAAAACTACATCAGCTCGGTATTATCGCTACTGCTAATGATGCGAATTACTTACGCAGTATCTACTTAGGCAATTTCCCCTCCTGAACTATTCTCACAATCTATCATTTGTTTTGCTCGCCTCCTGTATCTCGGTAAAGATCTAATCTATCTACGTTAATATAATCACAGATTTACCCTTTCACTCACTTCAACATATAGTAGCGGCATCCACCGCGCAAGCGAACTAGCAACGGCGGAAGTAGCCTTACATTGAATGACACCCTACTGGGGATAAAGAGGCTGGCATAGACTAGAGTGCGCTGTGAAATATATGAGGACTCACGCCATCTTCCATACTAGTTGACAACGAACAAAGAAAGCAGGCATTGGGCGACAGGGTTTATTTGATAACCTGATTGGGAGCGGATGAAATGAATTGACTATGCTGTATATGAGATCTGTTTGCGAATGATGAGAATACTCCCTCTAATTAGTGCACATGAGGCTGATAATTACTTAGGCGGCCATTCGTCCTTGCATATTAATCCCAAGCGGTTATGTCTCCTGGTTGAGTTGTTGTCTAGACCCCTATTTATCTTGAATATCATCCCAATCATCACATTACAACCCATCAAGCTCCCTCTCACACTATAGTAATGACCCGGACACAAGTCTCTTTCATTGCTGAAAACGCCCTCTCGCCTCAGTCGAGGAATATCTCTTACATCCTCACCTAAGCCTCGACAAGCGTCTCGAAAACAACCAGCAATACAATCAAAGGTCTGGCACTGAGATGAGAAATATGATTCGATGGGATGTTTAGATGCTTATGAGTATATCAGTGATGGGCATTACTCTAAATAGTCAACAGACTAGAGATTTTTGCATTATCATATTCTATCGTATATCATTACTCAGGTATCGTTGGTATCGTTGTATAAATATTCAGACATCCACCCTTCCATATCCGACCATAGATTATTCGCTAACACCCATCAGATCAGCAGATCGTCTGTCCCAGCTACAGGAAGCAGCTCTAATCCTCCCGCTTGGCATTCGGAAACGCCTCCTCCAGCGCCTCAGCTTCCTGCGGAGTCACAGCATCATCGAGGATTTCATGGGCCATTTCAACTGTGCCGTCGTCGATTCCCGCCTCTAGCACTAGTCCCTCGCTGAACGCTAATCGTGTCATTACCACCAGGAACTTTTGCTTACCGCCAGGCACGCGGGACAGCTTGGGCTGCAGATCTGCCTGTTCGCGATGGCGCTGCATCACGTTGTAGACGAGACACATGAGTCCGTTGACCAAGGCTGCGTGGAGGTCCTTCTCGGGCGGTTGTGAATAGAGAGCGTCCAACTCATCGTGAATCACCCGAATTAATCGCGCCAGTGCAGTGGGGTGGGATGCGATGACCATGCTGCCGTGCGTGCTGTCCGGTATACGGGGATTGAAAGCAACGCTAGTAAGGAAGGCTAATGCTTCTTGCCGCATGCCGCAGATCTCGTCTGGGCTGTAAGGCTCCTGTCCTTCATCAAGCAGCGGTGGCTCGCTTAGCAGGTTGGCGACGCGATCCACGATGTAGTTCTCGATCGTGAGTTGAAATTGCTCAGTGTCTTGGACGGGGCCGAATGAGTCGGCGCGGATGCTGGCCGACAGTAAGCTTAGCATTAGTGTTATGTCGTCAATGCGCTGCGAGCAGTTCAACATCGTCAGCACAAAGTCGTAGCGCACATGTCGCCACAGCTCAATCACATCCTGTTCTACGTGCATCCGGAAGCATGCCATGTCATACAGCAGGCCAAGAACTTTAGTCGAGTCGACCAGCGGTTCCAGTTCGGACAAGGGTGTCTTTCGCGCCTGACCTAGGTTTTGTCGGGAGACGGGCGAGGCCTTGAACCGTGGGATTGCGTTGACTTCCGCGGATACTTGCAGAACCGGCACCAGGTGTGCGTATAAGTCATGATCGAATTCTTGTAGGTCCTCCAATATGAGGTAGTGCATGATGGAAATGAACATCGGGATAGGTTGAAAGAACTTTTCTGTCAATGCACGAGACCACAACGATGTGATCGCCCGCGCGTACTCCACCATGTAGTTACCAAGATCAAGCTTCTCAGTTTCCTCCAAGAGGATGGTGGAGAGCATGCGCTGTGGCTCTGACGGGAATGCCAATCCAGCCATGACCTCGATATCGGGCTTCTCATCCGGGTATGTTCTGTGGTTCATAAGGCGCTTTATAATGCTGAGGTCCCCAAAGTTAGGCACCGCGCCTATCTGAGCTTTATCCGGCATAGCATCTAGCATTGCATCATCCGACAGATCTTCAGCCAAATCGGCTGCCATTGGCTCCGCTTGCGGGCTTAACTGCAAGGGTGTCGTGGTATCCTGACTGTGCCTTCTTTTCCTTTTCCCCGGTACGAGTGGTGTGATTCGCTTGGAACGTGCTGACTTGCTGGGAGAAACGGCGAGGATTTCATCATCGTCAAAGCCGTCGCGGAATGGTAGCACCTTCGACTTCTTTGGAGTCACCGGTGGTGCCTTTTCCTCCGTTCGACCTTTTGCCTTGAGCTGATTGGCACGCATGGCCTCCTCTGCTAGGTCTTGCCTCAGAAAGGCGTTTTCCGTGGCGAACATCTTGCCCTCCGCACGAGCCGCCGCAACCTCTTCCTCATGTTTCGCTATCTCGTCCGCCATCGCCTTTCGCAAAGCCGTCAGTTGGCGATCATAATCGGCGGTGAGTTTGGCCTGGTTGGCTCGGATGATGGAGATCTCGCCGGCTTTCGTTGCAGCCATTGATTTGGCTGCAGCCAGCTCCTCAGCCATTTGTTTGTGTCGCGCGCTCTCTAAAGCCAGCTATCGAGACAGTCAGTTCAGATGAACTCAAGGAGGGTAATTTCGCATAACTACCTTTTCACTCAGCTCAGCATAGGCTCTGTGTAAGTCAGAGAAATGGGATGCGCCATCTTCTTCGACCTCCATGGGGTCCAGTAGATCCCCATAGTCATCGTCGCCCACTGCCGTCGCAGCAGCAGCAGCCTTTGGCTGATGTTGAGCTGCTGCTGCAAAAGTCGCCGCCTGATCCAGTGCAGCATTTGACTGAATTGGAACCCCATTGTCCAGAACCTCGGCGTCCAGCTCCCCTATATCCCAAACATCGTATTCGTTACTCAACCCGGTATGCAAAGCAGGAGGCGGTTGTAGGGAAGCGTTGGAGGTGAATGCATTCTCGGAAAAAGCCCCATGGTTCTGATCGGAAAAAGGTCGCGACGATCTCTTTACGTCAGAGACAGACTCTTGGTGTTGTTGTGGCTGGTGATGTTGTTGGGCAGGGTTTGGGGCCTGAGTTGCGCGATAAGCCTTCTGCTCCAATTGGAACAAGGTACCGGGAGGGATGTCGTCGAAGCCATCGTCGGAGAAGAAATCATCGTCGTTATCTTCCATGCCCTGAATTGGACGATCGCCATGAACGGAGAGAGTGGGGATTATTTGAAAAAGGAGAGCACTAGTTGGTTGAGTTTCGGGGGGGAAGGATGAATGGATGAATGGATGAATGTTGAGTAAAACGAAGTGAAGGAGAAATGCGGGATGCGGAAAAGTTGACGTCGTGTTGGGAGGAAATCCAGAAGGACCTCCAAGTTGGTTTGCTTTGCCAGTTGCTGCCTCACGGGATCTCATTCTCTTCTTCCCTCTTCCAACTTCTCCTCTCCTTCTCGCTCCAACAACCCACACCTTTCCTACCGTCGATTTCTCCCTTCGTGACGTCCTGGATTGACCGGTTCCATAGCAGTTTGGATAGTCTCCAAGACCTAAGCTCTTTTCTCCAGGGGATCTACTTGACTTGCCCACCGCTCGTGCTCCATCCCGCTGTTCCCCGGTCGCTATTATTTCACATGAATTTTCGCTAGACGACGATCATTGCTGCTTCGCCTGCTCCGTCTCGTCTCCCTTTTTCCTGCTGAATTCTATTGACTCCTGCGCTCGCGCGTCTCGCCTGGTCGGTCAAATTCCGAGCTTGATCTCTCTCCCCGCAGCCACGACTCGAGAAGCCGCCGTGCTCCGTCGCTCTCCGTCGCTCTCCCCTGCTCCCCTGTACATAACTTTCCGTCATGTCCAAATCGCGTCGCAACGTCAGGTTCCCACGTCGGATGTCCAACTCCTCTGAAGGTCGGCGCTTGAGCATCTCTGATGCCAGCGATGTCCTCTCCGACCCCGGTAGCCCGGCCAAAGATGGCAGCGTCACCGCGCCTGCCACCATTCCCGAGGAGGTGAGGAGCTGCGAGCTTTCCGGAAACCCCCGTGAAAGGTGTTTCTGTGTTGCAGACAAGGCTGACATGACGACCAGAAATCCGAGAAGCCCCAGTTGTCCGATTACGAAAAGAAGAAACAGACCTTTATTACACGTACGATATGGACCTTTGTGATGATTTTCGGCTTCTTCGTTGCCATGTTTTCCGGCCACATTTACATCATCGGCATCGTTACCGCTGTCCAGATCATCTCGTTCAAGGAGGTTATCGCCATTGCCAATGTGCCCAGTAAGGAGAAAAACCTCCGCTTCACCAAGTCGCTGAATTGGTACTTTCTGGCTACGACCATGTACTTCTTATACGGAGAGAGCGTCATCTACTACTTCAAGCATGTGCTTCTGGTGGATCGGGTGCTGCTGCCTCTAGCTACCCACCACCGGTTCATTAGCTTCACGCTTTATGTTATGGGTCAGTTCATCCTCTTCGCGCGTAGACGCTTGCCTCTTTCTTGCTGACAGGTAATCCTAGGCTTCGTCTTCTTCGTCGCGTCCTTGCAGAAAGGACAGTACCGGTTCCAATTTACCCAGTTTGCTTGGACGCATATGGCGCTCTACCTGATCGTCGTTCAAGCTCACTTTGTCATGAACAACATCCTGGAGGGCATGATCTGGTTCTTCCTTCCCGCCTCTCTCGTCATCACGAACGATATCTTTGCCTACGTCTGCGGTATCACCTTCGGTCGCACCCAGCTTATCCAGCTGTCCCCCAAGAAGACTGTCGAAGGGTTCCTTGGCGCGTGGATTTGCACCATCATCTTCGGCTACTTCATGACCAACATTCTGATGCGCTACAAGTACTTCATCTGCCCCGTCAATGATCTGGGTGCCAACGTCTTGACGGGTCTTCAATGCTCGCCCAACCCGGCCTTCGTGCCCCAGCCCTACCATGTCCCGGAGTGGACTGGCATGCACAAGACCTTCCATATTGAGCCTATCCAGTTCCACATTCTGATTTTCGCCACATTCGCTTCTCTTATCGCTCCCTTTGGCGGCTTCTTCGCCTCCGGTCTCAAGCGTACTTTCAAGATCAAGGACTTTGGCGAGTCGATCCCGGGTCACGGTGGCATCACTGACCGCATGGACTGCCAGTTCATCATGGGCTTCTTCTCGTACATGTACTACCACAGCTTCATCGCGGTGTTCAAGGCGAGCGTCGGAGATGTAATTGAGATCGCCATCAACGGTCTGTCGGTGGAGGAGCAACTCGAGGTCGTCCGGGGGCTGAGCAAGTACCTGTACAACCAGGGTACTGTCTCTGAAACAGTAAGCCAACCCTGTTCCCAGTCTACGCTTTGCGTCATATCTAACTTTATCTACCTACAGATCCTGGATTGTATCAACACCGAGCTCCGCCGTTAGAGCGGAAGCATGACGACTCGACCTGCCCTTGATCCAATGGATCTCCGTGATGAAAATCCTATCCTTCTCTTTCTCTCTCTATAGTTGCTGTTGAGGGTTAAAAATGAGCTATGTCCCATCTATACACCTTTCTAATCACCTTTCTAGCCTCCCGGGATGCGCTCTCACTCATGAGCCAGCACCGGGAAGCTCTTTCTTTTGGAAATGTGCAGCACCCTGCATGCATGCATGTATCTGTCACGCTATCGCTACTTATATTCTATATTCCTTGCTCATTGCATTGGGGGTTGTTGTTCATTGGTGTATACATGTTTTCAGAGGGCGAAAAAAGGGGGGAAAGCAAAGAGGGTGGAGGGGGAAGCAGGCATACGTGAAAACAATGGAGAGTGAGGGTTGGAATGCAGCAGGGGGCGCGGATACGAAATGTTGAACCCTGCAACATGAGACTGACATGACACTACACTGTTTACATACTGTGGTAGTTTATAGTCATCTTGTTTTTTTCTAACCTATCATTCTTTATTCCTGTCCTCCAGCTCTCTTCATTGCAGTTTCTTTCATAATTACTGTATTCTTTTCTTGCTATGGTGATGTTTTGTGGTAAGAATGAGTGTAATAATGTAATAGTAAAAGGGACAATAACGCAAGGAGATTTGTAAACGATAATACTAGCATATTATCCGTATCTCGTGGCTGATAGGCATAAGCTTGCTTGTATCTCCCTCATGTATCTGATTTCATTCTATCCTGGTTTCCCCTTCACGACCTCTTCAGCATAGGCAGCTACTATTACTGATATGCACGTCTTATCTACTCGGAGTGCACTACACATTGATGATACTAATAAACGAATGATTGGCAGTATGGATGGTAGTATACATTGCATTCAATATATCGCTAACTTTCTGTCTTTGTCTTGGTAAGTATGTACTAAAGCAGGTTTATATAGGTGCGGTCATAGTCCCCTGGAATGCTTCCACCCTCCTGGGCCGCTTGTCGGTGTACGCTGACACGGAGCCTCATTAAAGAGTCCGAATGACCTTTCTGAATGTCTGTCCTTCTCAATATGTCGGCACACGGCACACGAACACTTACCAGGGGGCTCGCTCAAGAGGAGTCACATTCCGGCCTTGTCGCTTGAAGATGCCTGTGGGTCATCCATCAGTCGATCAACAGTTGAGCGGGGCGCGAATGTCCTCGTCTGAGTGAGGTGAGGCCCGAGGCGTATTGCCATGCTCGGTGATTCGCCCGCGTGCTCAGACGAGACCAGACGAGACGGGCCTCTATGCAGGATGCATTATGTAGTAACACGTGCAGAGCAATGCACGTTACTTGCAGCTGGAACGCAGCCTAGTGTCCATCTGATATATGGCAATCAGGAGACTGTGTGAGAGAGAATCAAAGCAATTCACTCCTCAACCTCGTACTCTTCCATCTCCACTTTGAAGTACGTCGCTACGTGGGATTTCTCGGCATCAGCGCACTCCGGATCCAGCATAAAGCGCACGGCGCCATCGCGGCCCTTTTCTGTAGCTCTGGGCCGGTCTCCATTGGCGGCAACAGGAGTGAGAGGGTGCAGTTTGGTGGTGGCATCCTTCGTGGCTTTGTCGCCGTTCGTGGCCTTGCTTTCGCGAGGTTCAGGAACCCAGTTCGTGTACCGGGGTAGTTTCTGGGACTCGGCTTCGGTGTTTAGTGGAATGCGGACGGTGAGGAAGCGATCCGCTGGAAAATGGGGACCGACGGTGGTGTGTCCGCGGTTGTGGGTGTAGAGCTCTAGGAGGTCGAAGAGAGTTTCTTTTCGTTTCGATTTAGCTTTGAGCTTCAATGCAGGGAAGTTGGCTCGGCCTTACCCATTACTTCCTCACGACTCGTCTTCCAGTTTGCATAGTCAACGCCTTGCTCCACGGCCTCGATTCGCTGGTCAAGTAACCGCCCCGCCAGTTCCAAACAGGTGAAGGCCATGGTGGACGTCGTTTGCTTGATAGGCGCGTACGTACGATAGAGGTCCTGCGAGATGCGATACGCCAGGTTCGAGACCTCCGATTGCGGAGTCAGCCCGTACTTCCGGGCGAGCTTGATGAGCGTCTTTTGCGGATGGCGGGTCCGGAAGTCGAAGCCGGATGCCTCCAGCATTAGTCTCTCCAGGCCGATGATGCCTCTGGCGTGTGCTTCAAAGACCTGCCTTTATTAGCATGCATCTCATGAGAGAGGTCAGAAGCAACAGCTTACCGGATTATCAGGAGCCATGTGCTCCTGTGCCGGCAGCTTGAGATTATACGCAGCGCAAACAATCTCCCGGGACCGCTTCAACGTGTCCTCGATCTTGCAGGCAGTAAAGAGCGCAGCTGCAGCGGCGTCCTGGATCAGAGTTAACAAACACGTCGAGTGGTACAACAGGGGACATAAAGTGGGCAGTACCATATAATTATACTCGTTGTCAGGATGAACGAGTCGGAACTTGTGGTAGTACACCACAGCCGTGTTAAAGGTGCGGATCGGGCTAACTACCTGGTTAGCTATATTGAGCTTTGGGAGCAGTGGAGAATCCGGCGCATGGGCACCTACAGGTAGAGCACACGGCGGACATTATCGATCCAGGTCACGCCTTGCAAGCGAAGGGATTCTTCGCGCAGTGGATTGACACCCATCGCGGCAATACATTGCTGAATGGTCTGCTCAAAGATGTACGGCTTGGCTACCTGGATGAAGGACGGGTGGATGGGCGGCGGGTCGGGGATGGCAGCATCCGGGGAGGATGCTTCTTCCTTCTTGTCGGGAGCCATGCTGAGAGTATTGATATATGAGCGATGGCTGGAGAGGGAAGCTCTGGATGGGATGGAATGGATGGGGATGCTTCTTAATGCTGATGGCCGCCGACGACGGCCATTGGCCAGCCGGTCATGTGACGGGCACATTTTCAATGTCGAATTACAATACGTAAGTTACAATACCTGGTACTGTATGGTGACTAATTTATGTAGTTGCATAACAGTGAACATCTTGACATTGTTGAACAGATTCAACAAACTGACCGCATTCTAACAAAATTTAGTAGTGGGTACCAATGATTAGCCATGGATACAAGCTGAAGCTTCTAGCTGAGAGGCCCACTTAGCTTCTCTATTCGCTTGGATGTTGTATTGATGTATTTCTGGTTACTGGCTATGCTTATCTACTTGAACCCAATATTGTATGGCTAGCGCGAGGTTAATTTGCTCGATATTTGAAGGAGATTAGATAGTACTAATCGAATTAACTTGTGAGTTGTAGCCGGGACCCTAACAGTAAATGCCTGATTACTAGCTCCAACAAATCCACTCTAGAGAGCTCATAGTACGAGTAGTAGCAGGCTCTATATAGATTATCGAGACTATAGTTCAAAAGCTAGTATGAATTTCTCATCTCGTATGACCACGGAGTTATTCATCATGAATCATGGAACCCCCTTACCCTCTCTCGTTGCTCTTGCCAACCAACTCTGCGCCTTATCATCCGCATACCTCTTATAAATGGGCAGATAATGCTCCGCCTCACTCGTCGTCTCCTTCGCGCTCCGCCGTCCCTCAACAGCCTCCTGCCACTTTCTCCATTTGCCCCAAACCTCCTCATCCTCCCCTCCCTCTCCGGGCTTCGGGATCCCTAATCCACCCTTAAACTCATCAAACACCCAAAGTCGGAACGCCCACGGCGCGAGCACCAAATCCGGAAGCGACACCTCCGAGCCCCAGAAATACGGCCCCGAGGAGTCGATCTCCTTAGCCCATTCCTTCAAGGTGGAGAGGAACTCCTGACGGGCTTGGTGCAGGCCCTCAATTCCGCGCGTCGAGGGCTGGTACTGGAGGAAGCGGTGCAGGGTGGGGATAATGCGCGAGGTGACGTAGTCGATCCAGATGCGGGAACGGGCGCGCTGGTACGGGTCAGAAGGGAGGAGAGGTCGGTGGTTTGGGTATGCTTCTTCGAGGTATTCGAGGATGACGGTGGATTCGTAGAGAGGCTTGGAGGTGTTGGTTGAGGGGTCGGGGACGGAGATAGTGGGGACGAGGCCTCGTGGGTTCAGAGCGAGGAAGGAGGGTTCTTTGTGGTAGGGGTTTATTTCGATGTACTGGTAGGGAATTTGTTTCTCTTCGAGAACAAGCCAGACACGTTGGACTGGAGATTGATTAGTCGATTATGAATGGAGTAGTGAGAAGATATGAGGGGTGGGAAGTATACCGAAGCTGCGGAGGTATTAGTAGAAGATTCCAAAAAGTGCACTTTGAAGGGGGGGAGGGGGTTGTAACTCACGGACAGAACCAGCCGGCATACAGCTTTAATGGTTGCTCAGCTTGGTGTCGGTCAACCAGCGCTTTGGCTGCACCGGTAGCTTCGGGGTGAACGTCTGCGTCAGGCACGGCCATTGCGAGATGGATGTGGAATTGACGATGGGATGGTCCGGTGGGCGGCAGTGGCTGTTTATTTATACTCAGAGGATGGTGTCATGGGCTTATTAATTGATGGCATATGATCACAACCCCGCATGCGGTAAGGGATCAAGATATGCCTACAGTGAAGTAGTAGTAATAAGTAGCAATATACTAAAGATACGAATATGGAATAGCTCAATTGTGATACCAGTCATGAATGTCGCCATTAACGAGCAGAGAACAATCCACGTAGACGGCCCCCCAAGGCATTCTAGAAACGAGCTCAATAGCAGCTACTCTGTCCGGCTCAAGCATTAATCCCCATATTTTCTCAGCAACTTCTGCATAATAGATACAGCCCCCGATCGGTATCCGGCTCCGAATATCGCATGGTGGTTCAGATGATGGTATCTTCTTTTGTTAGCTTCTTTCCCAAAAACTCAGACCGAAAGCCAGGAGGACAACTCACAACTCGTACAATCGCACACGGTCCTCATACTCCTCCACTGGCTCAGTTTTGGGCACATTCTTATGATATGCTGCGAAGAAAGCCGATCCAAACCCGCCGAACATCCTCATTATTCCCAATTCATATTCGCTGTGTGCGTAGCATGCCGACGGATCATAGACTACATCGCCTACCTCCTCGTCATCCTTGCGACCGCTGCCCACAATTTGACCGCGATCTGCATTCCCACTCCACAAATCCCCATGAACAACGACAGGCGTAATACCCTGTCCATTCCCATCCCTGTCGTAACCTAAGTGTCCGTCCCGCAGCAATGCAGGGACCACCGTCCGCGCCGTCCGCTCCACCAGATCCCGCAAGCCGGCATCACGACCATTCCGGGTTTCTGATGACTCGAGGATGGTGAGCAGCCGCTCGTTGGCATAGAAGTCCGCCCACGAGTCGCAGAAGCGGTTGGGCTGCTTGGTGTCCCCGCAGAAGGTCGGAACAGGGAATCCGAATCGACGTCGTCCTGTTGCAGGGTCGGGGGGTGCTGGCGTCGAATGTAGTTTGCCTAATCGCTGGGCTAATGTATCTCCTCGACCTCGACGGCCGGCTCCTCCTAATTCCAAAAACTCGGTTGCTAGGAAGAAGCTTGTCCCAGCGCTTTCCTCCAGCGGGCCCCAGGCGAGAGCCCGCGGACAGAATCCGGGCACGGACGTCGCGATCGCATTGAGCGATTCGTACTCCCCACGAAACATCTCCTCCGCAGCCTCGCCATTTGGAGAGGTCTTGACAAAGTAGCGTCGTTCTTCTTCCCCTGAGCCGTCGGAGCGGGGAACTGTAGCTCGTATTGCACCGGTGTTTGTGAAGCCCGACCCTAGACCGGCGGTGGACAGGCTGGCTTTGGCGGGGTCAGGGATGGAGAGGGCACGCAGCAGCGTGGCAGGCACGGGAGCCATCGTCTCAATCAGCACACACGCAACTGAAGATGTGACGATGGTAAAAGTCAGGAACAAAGAGGAGAACGAAGAGGGGGACCACGGAAAAAGAAGGGGACATCAGGACAAAAACAAACAGCAGCGTAAGATTGGCCGGAAACGATTTCAGCGGCAGACCTTCCGATGACGTCGCTCGGACCTTATCTTATCGATAAGATAACCCATTTGGGATGCCTGAAACTGAAAGTTGGGATGGAGGATGAGATATCAATCAATAGAAGGAAGAGGAACCAGAAAGTTGCCACGAACAAAATTCACACAGTAGAAATGGATGAGTTTCCTGGTGCTGTTCAAGCACCGTCTACAATGAGTAAACCAACGCTTTGTACACAACAGCCCCTCAAACGCCTCCCAGATTGTCTGGAATTCCATCGATCCAGTCCAAATAGTCCGCAAAATCCAGGCCCCCGAATGCATAGCTAGCCTAATATTATAAAATTTTTTTTTCTCACTATGTGTGCGTCAAGTGATTGACCAGATCCTGGGCTGTCCTTGTCCGTTCCCGCACGTCCAGATCGGGGTCATCCCCAAGACTGGCCAGCCGATCCATGACTCCCATCGCTCGCAGTCGGAACGCTCGTTCTCGACACCCTTCCTCCTCACTCGCATCGTCCTTGTATGTAAGGTTAATCACTACCCACACACAATTGGTGCGGACTTCACGATGGCTATGATTGAAATACTCCATCAAGTAGCGTAGCAAGTCCCGGTGTGACACCAGAAGCTGGCGGTGCCACGGGAGGCCCGCAGCCAGATGAATCATGACGAAGGTAACTGACACCAGAATCTCCGTAGGAACGCTCAGAGGCCGGTGCGCTGACGACTCCCTCCGGTGAGGAAGCTGGATCGACCGGGGCCGGAGCTTGTCCGCCAACGCATCCAAAATCAGGTCCTGACCAATCACCTTAAACAAATGGTCAATCATCTCGGATGCGCCTGGCCCGCAGATGATATTGCGCAACAGGTCGAATGTCTGTTCTTGTACTGCAATATCATCCTGCCGGGCCTGGGTTGTCTGGTCGAGGTTACCATGCAAGGCCAACTTGCGCCGTCTCGTGGCATCCGGAAGGAACATATCCAGGCTCATCTTGGACGGGGGCATTGTGTCTGCCATCTTCATGTCCTCATCTTGCCCAGTGGCGTTATCAACCGGGTTAAGCAAATCCACCTGCTCCCCAGCTGAGTTGGCTCGCCCCATCCCGACGCTGGAACCGTTGTCCATCTCCTCATCCATCCCTCGCTTGGCCAATGCGTTGGTCGGATCCTGGGTGATAATTTGCCGGATATAGGCGGGGCTTAACCCTTCAATAATTCTCACCTTAACGTCGTTGGTGGAATTATATGCCACATGCTTCAAGGCCCATAGTGACTCAATGCGAAGCTTGGTGCTCGGAGAGTGTGCGTGTTCACAAAGGGTAGGGAGGACGTCGGCGGTAATAATCGCCTTGACCTGTTAGCGCATTCTCTTAAGTAGCAGAAGGATGGTAGAACTAACTTCTTTCATGGGGCTGAAATCCAAGGCTAGGTTACATATCACCTGCGTAGCAGCAATTTGCACCTCGATATTGGGGTGCTTAATCAAGACAAAGAGAGGCGTCGCCACCCCAGCATCGATCATACTCGTCCTTAGGACACTGACTGAGCGCGTCAGCATCCGCGCGGCACCGCAAGCAGCTAACAGGGTTGAGGTCGGGTTTCCATGCGAAGCGGTGTTCTTTGGACCTGACGGGTCCGCCGATTGGTCGTCTGAACACGGCTTCAGTGAGTCGATGATGTACGGTACCACGCCGTTCTCACAGACGGCCTTGCGATACTCGTCCTTGAAAGGGACTAGAGCTGCTAGGGCCTTGAGGATGTTCTCCCGGTATCGCATGATGTGGCAATGAACACGAGAGAAGCCCAGGGAGCCCAGGCGGCACTCTGCGGACAAAGTGTCGGGAGGACTCTCAATACTTCCTTCAGCATCCGCATGCCACATGGGACGAGAGACGTCCTGAACTGGATTGTATGTTTCTTTGAGCAGCTGAGAGAGTCGTTTGATGGCATTGCCATCGACTGCATGCCTTTGCAGCTCAAAATCATCAATCACTAAGGTAGCCAGCACAAACGGGGCCTCTTCACGAAGACGCTCAGTCGAAGGGATCAGTCCCCCGTATTGGACTCCATCGTCCCCGTTCATTTCGTAGTCCTTATCAAGCATCCGGATCAAGATCGGGATTAGCAGGTAGCATAGCATCGAGACCCGACGCTTCTTGGTTAGCCCCAAGCGAAAAAGGACGGTCACAAGACGAGCCGCCATCAACCGAACCATACCACCTTCCGCACGGACAATATACAGGAGCCACGGAATGATGGGGTTCTCCTCGTCTTCAGAGGTTGGAGGATCGTAAACCGACATCGGCGTAGAATACGATTGGCTGTGTCGGCGGTGAGTGGTACCCTGATGGCCTAAAGGCGGGAAATTAGGAGTGTTCGCCGGTGACTTGCTCTGCGACAAGGGAACCGATGGCAAAAGGTGCTCCAAGGGACTTGCGCCTGCATGGCGGGGAACGGCGGAACCAGAAAAGTAAGTCGAGCCCCATGGTCCCTTCTTGATGTCTGTCGGAGCAAACTCGGGGAGCTGCCTAGGAAACACAGTAAGTATACCGGGTGATGAGAGAAAGTGCTCTGCGCGCCACTTGGAATGCTCGATAATGACCGTAACGGCGCGAAGAATGGGCGCCAGTTTAGCTCCTGCAGGTGCAGGGGCTGGTAGAGAACCAAGAGCACCCGGATCCTGCACATGCGCTTCCGCACCGGGGAGTACGAAGCCTTGGGCAACGATGAAAGAAGCTACCTTTACGGCCAAGGCGTCCAAAACCCCGCACTCCGCCAGGACTGCCTTATGGACCTCCTCCGTGCACAATTTCCCAACCAGGGATGCAGCAAGTTCAATGGCCGCTTGATCATGATGGCTTTCATACTCCTGGCCAAGGATACGGGCTAAGCAGCCAATGTGATCGTTGGAGAAGAGCAGATCGGCCAAGCGTGTGTCCTTGGACGATAGCTGTTGACTCTGGAGCGGCAGTCGATCCGCCACATTATTGAGGGTTCGCAGAATCGGGAGAACGAAGAACGAGGGACATTCCGGCGCAGAGAGAATGGACAGAAGGGCCGGGAGAACACCGCTGGAGAAAATGGGGGAAAGGAAGGCCGCACCGCCTGCTCGATCATCAGTTCCCGTGCTGAGATAAGAGTACGTGTAGAGTACCCGATTGACCAGAGCGTTATTTTATATACCTTGTGCTAAACTCCCTAGAATGATAACCGCTTGAAGACAAGCTTCATCTTCCTCCGATGTAGGATAGCGGAGCTTCGAACCCCCGGCGAGCTCCGCGGAAGCCGTGCCTTTTCCGGGAGACTGCCGGGCGACCAGGATATTGGCTAACACGGGAAGAATCCCCCATCGAACCCAGGACTCTTTGCGCTGGTCATGACCAATTGTCTCGTTCTTCAGGCTTCGTAGGGCAGCTGCCTGGGCAGACAACGTTTCTGCATTCTGTAGTTGTAGTAGAAGTGGAGGGGCCGAGGCGCGAGTCATGGTGCGCAATCGCCGCCTCCCGCGGGAGGGATCTTGGATGGATTACGTCGGAGAAACAAGTAAGTTAAAGCTGATCGCGTGGAAATTGTTGGTATAGGTGAAAGAGAGAATGAACAGGCCAATGTATGGGGGATGAGGAAGATAAAATTTTCGAGGATGGGTTTGACCAGGAAGGAAGGTTGCGTGCGTATCGCCAGCTGGCCGGAGGCGATGGTTAAGCAATTGTGAATTGTAATGGCGTTGCAACTGGAATGAGTGGTGAAAGTACCGGATCAGTACCACAAGACAAGGAACTGAGATTCCGATAAGGTCTAACAAATATGACAGAATAAACACAAACAGTACAGGCTATGTACGGAATGGAAAAGAGGTAGTATAGATAGAAACAAGATCCGCGACCAAGGGATCTGGGGTTTGAGCTGAACTGGGGGAGATGGGGGGAGCTTCTGGACGTTGACTTAGTGGTGATACTTTGGTCCGCTGCCCGGGGGAGCCATTGCCTCTTACCGCTTTCGGCCGGAGCCATCAGGTGACATCACCTGATGGTTGCGGTTGCGTAGTAAGCTGACAGTGCTGAGTCATCCATCGCCGGACACAGCAGAGTCATCATGTGATTCAGCCCTATTAGTATTGGCTGCAGTCTCTCCAAGAGGTAGTACTGGTATCCCATGTATCCATGTATCCCATGGTATTTGGGATCGTGCCCCGACTGCCAAACAAGGGATGCAACAAACCTTGAATCCGAGTCTTTAACGAGGCGTGCATGATGGATGGTGACTTTCAATTAATTGAAAGAAGGGAAGCAATGGTGCTTGGTGTCACTAAGAAGAAGCTGCTTGAGGGGGGTTTTCTTGGGAAGTTGGAGAGAAGTTGGAGTAGTTGTTACTAGTAGTAAATGGAAGTGCGGACGATGGGGGTAAATTCATACTCAGCATCGCATGATCCTTAGCAAATGACCGGGCGATGGATGTGGAAGAAAGGGTGTCCCTGATACCCGGAAGGACAGGAGAGAAGCTTCTTGGCCTATAGACCAAAAGGGATGCAGCTCCTCGCCTCGTTTGCTCCCCTGGAGTCGATAGATCGATAGGTCTGTGTCACCATCACCTGACGCCAAGTTACTTACTATCTATACGGGACTACTAGTAGTAGTGTACACACACACACACACATTGACATTGTAGTAAAATACAGAGCAAGCACTTTTGAGTAATTCTATACAGTGCTTTATACATGTCATGGCTACTCCGTAATTCATGATAAGATGGTCCGGGGAGTGTCAAACACTCCGCCTTCCCAATCCATGTAGCACTGTACCCAATTGAGTATCTATCTCCTAATGAGTACCAGCAAAACAGCGAGTCCGAAGTAATAATCTGGTTCTTTTGCCGAGATGCGTCAAAAACAGGGGAGGTTGTAATGCGGCGGGACACTAGACCGAGATTAGACCGACCAGCGGGGACTCCCATTGGTGAATTGGGCCACGCAGGGTGAGCTTCCCTGCTTTGTTCCCTGCGTATCATACTGTCCTCGTATTGCTCCATACTCACTTTTACTCACATTTCTCACTTTTTCTTACTGCCAAACTTACCCGGGCCGGTTTGAAGAGAAATTTTCCCAATGTAATATTCCCCCCTCTCTTGCTGGATCGGCGTCATTGTTAGTATATGATTTCTCGCTCGTCGGAGTTCTTTGCTCTCCAGTACTTTTCTTCTTCTAATTCTAATCCTCCTCCACTTCCTTTTCCTTTTCCTTCTCCTCTCCCCTTTCCCTCCCTCTCTCTCTCCCCCGCCTTTCAGCCTCCTTCCCTCCCTTGAAGAGCTGAATATTTCGCTCCTCTCTCTTTCTCCCCCCCGCAGATCACGATGCGTCTGTGCACGCCACCTTCACCCCTCGCAGCAGCACAAGGTTTCGCAGCGTCTGCCAGCTCCGTTGCACGTCGTTCAGTCGTGCGCCCACGTGGTGGCCTCGTTGGGCGGAAATGCTAGTTTCGTCGCCCTCTCCGTCCGCCGCCCTGCGACCATCCCCTCCCTCCCCTTCTACTACCACTACCACTGCCACTACCACTCATCATTCCCATTCTCATCCCCTTCCCCATTCTCACTCGCATCCTCATCCGTCCCCTCACTCCCAGCCCTCCTCCTCTTCTCCCTTCACCTCGTTTCCACGACAGCCTTCGCATCAGCATTATGAGCCCGCCGGGCACGCTTCTGCTGCTGTTGCATCTTCCTCCGACTCTCGTTTCGACCCGCAATCTTCTCGGGTGGCCATCGAAGAACTTCGATCGGCCTTAAACCGGCATACCGTTGGCTCATCCCCTCCCGGGCCCTCAGGGGATATCCCTCGCGGTCGCATGTCCGCCGGGCTGACCTCCTCTGGGGGCGGAAGTAGCACCACGTCTCATCCGCCTGCTGACGCCGCCATTCCCGCCTCCAATCCCATGCGCCCTGCTCAGGATCGTCCTGCCAATAACGTGTCTGTCCCGGCCGTACCTGCAGCCTCCGTTCCCGCCTCAGTTGCCCAATCTACCTCGACTCCCCCAATGCCGGTCCCCAACAGCGCTGGCTCCGGGTCCAACAAGCGTAACAGCCCGAACGACCCTCCGGTCGGTGGTGAGCGCGCCGCGGGCCTAGCTCACGCTGACCTCGAGGGCTCTCAGTCGAAACGAATGCGACCGGACATTCCGGCAGTCAAGTTGCTGCCGGAGCGGTACGAGCTGGCGGATCCTCGGGATATTGTTGTGTTGATCTCGAGCATGTTGATGGAGCTGATCCGGTTTAACGACAAGATCCCTCTGAATCAAGGTCGCTTGACTCGCTTTCACTCGCGGTCGCCGCCGCGAATTTCGGTGCATGACTACCTCCAGCGACTCACCACCCATGCTACGCTGTCCCCTCCGATCCTTCTGAGCATGGTGTACTACATTGACCGACTCTGTGCTCTGTACCCCGCCTTCACCGTGTCCAGCCTGACGATTCATCGATTCCTCATTGCGAGCGCCACGGTAGCTAGCAAGGGCCTAAGCGACAGCTTCTGGACCAACAAGACCTACGCTCGGGTGGGCGGTATCACCATGACCGAGCTAGCCCTGCTTGAGTTGGAGTTCCTGTTCCGCGTAGAGTGGCGCATTGTGCCCGAACCCGAAGTGCTTGTAGACTACTACAAGAGCTTGGTCGAGCGATGTGATGGGTATGCGATCGGACGTGACAGTTGATCCTTTTTTCTTTTCTTCTCCGACGTCGACATTTGAGGTGCCTGCGAGCCACGCATGAAGATTTAGATCGATTGCATATATTTCTGGGCTTGGATGGCGCAAGCTAGGGATTACTACTATCTGGAGAGTTTGTGGGAAGACGATGTGTTTGTACCAGTACATATCACACATACACGGACATGGAGTTGATGTTGTTTCTGCATATTTTGATGGCGGGGAGCGATCGATATCCTTTATGGCTGGTGTTGTTTGAATTTACTGTTTCTCGTTTTTCGTTCTTTTGAATCTTTCCGTTTAGTGTCATGTCTGGTTTTTACTCGTATAACACCCTGTACAGCATTCACAATACATGATATATTTCACTCTTCTCGGACGATAGAGGGATCGATTGGCCCACTGTGTTCCACCCATTTGACCCATCGCTGGGCCCGCTCCGTAGCCCCGAGTGGTTTAGGCGTCATCGAAAAAGACAGTGCTGGCTGTATTGCTTACCCGTGAGGAAACATGACATGACGTCTTAGTCCTGACTCCTCCCCTCTAGTCCCAATCCAGCTCCCCTGCTAGGGCTTAGGTCCTAGGGCACAGGGTCTGCAATCCCGTGCATCCAGACGGAAAGTTAGTATTCGGCCTCATCTTGCCGCTCTCGCATCTTGACCAAGACGGCGCAGCTAATACCTGCCAGATTGAGTATCTGTATTGAAGAATGCCGTGACCGGACACATCCGCCATCCTCAGTTTTCCCTTCTCATCGTCAAACTGCCCCTCCTCCACCCGCAACCCCGCCATAAAAGACTTCTCCCCCGCAAGAACCACTACCCAAGGCAATGGACGTAGAGGAGATTCTCCGTGGCATCAAGCCCCTCGAGGGCCAAGTCACCGCAATTCGGACCGTTCAGGAAACGCGTCCCCGCGAAGACTACGGTGCGTCATCCTTGGAACTTCTCCACAAGGACCTTAACGCATCTAATAATCCCCAGCCGATGCCTACATCACCGAAGTCAACGTCAAATGTGCCTCGAAAGTGATCAAGTGAGCTCACCCCGAACACATACTATCTTCTTCTCCGCTCACCTTCTCTTCTCCAATAACCAGAGTCCTGGACTCCCGCTTCCCCCGCGACTCCTCCCAACCACTAAGCCACCTCCGCCGCTTCGCAAAACACAACCAACTCCCCGAACACCTCCGTCCCATCCTCCTCCACGAGGGATCCTCCCCCGCGCAAACTATCTTCGTGCTAGTCTCCCCGCCTCTCCCTGACCTCGAATCCCTCCAAGATGCTCTATCGCCATTCGCACCCCCAACCCCTGCTGGGGAGGAGAACAGCAACAACCCCCTCACCTTCCACACCATCCGCATCCCCCTCCAACCCCCCCTCACCCCCGTCCAAGCCGACGCATGGTCCAAAAGCATGTGGCCAGTCGTCTACAACCCCGCCGCGCCCCGCGCCATGATCGCCCCGCCACCACACATCCTAGCCCGCGCGCGCGACTCTATCCAGCCCAAAGCAGGCCGGTACCTCGCTCTAGCGCAAAGAGTCGCAGACGAGGCCGAACGATCAGGCCTAGGCCGGCGTGTCGGCGCCGTCGTCGTGGATCCAGACCTTGAAGCAACGATCGCCGAGCAAGCCGCAACCGACGACAATGACAATGACAACGACAATGGAATCCACTGGTCCGACGCAGTCGTCGCAGTAGCCGGCGACGGACGATACTCCCGCGCAGACACGGGCACAGAACCTCCAAACCCTCCCAACCAATACGCAACAACCTACTCCCCCGACCACGAAGGCGGACCCGAACTCCACGCCCTAATGCGCGCCGTGGAACTCATCGCCAGTAAACGTCGCGAAGACCGTCCCGGCTCATCAACTACAAACCGGCCCTGTCTTACGGACGTGGAGAGATACTTCCTGTCTAAGTCAGACACCGACATTACTGCTACACAGCCAACCGAACCCGAACCCGAATCAAAAGAGTCTACTCCAGTGCCGCCACCGGAAAAATACCAAAAAACTACAGAAACCACCGCACATCCCATCCATACCTCCACATCTACAGGCACATCCACATCGCGCATCCGCCCCCGCTCCCAAGGCGGATACCTCTGCACAGACCTAGACGTATACCTGACCCACGAGCCATGCATCTGCTGTAGCATGGGTCTGCTGCTCTCGCGCTTCCGGGCTGTGGTGTTCCCTCGTTCGGGGAGGATGGTGTCGGGTGGATTGGCGTCGGAGCCGGTGGTTAGGCCTGTACCTGCTGAGGAAGATGAGAATGAAAATGAGAATGAGAATGAGAATGGGATTGGAGCTGAAAAGACGGATGATGATGGATCGGTGGAAAGGGAGTATTATGGGTTGCATTGGCGGAAGGAGTTGAATTGGCGGGCGTTGGGGTTTGAGTTTGTGGAAGAGCTGGAGAATGGAGAGGGGAGTGCTGAGTTGGGGGTGGCGTTTCATGCTTGATGATATTGTAGTATGATAGGTATGGGTATAAGTATAGATGCATAGGGTATAGGCGTCTTAAAAGGGGCGTTGTGTGGGTGGGTGTAGTATTACTATTATCGTAACCCTTTCGAGTCGTGATTGAATGAACACAAAAGTATATGTACGAAGGCTCTAAATCTACAAAAACAGCATCAAAAGCTAACCTCGTCATTCATAATATTAAGCTAAGATATTATCAAATCCATGACTGGTTCCATAAAACCAACCAACTATTCGCATCTCATATGCAAGTAAGCGGCGGCTAGACATTTCCGCGTTTACTCATCCAGGCATTATTTCATGAAAAACCAGGACGTAGACCACTTTTGTTTTGCGACTTCTTTTCCAGTTCATCCCCGCAGAAGCCGGGCACGGCGCGACAGAGGCGCAATCTTGCGAATAATGGGGTCGTGAGGCGACGTTTCGGCAACAGACATGTACAGCGCCTCCAACCGTTGGCTGAGGATGTCCATGATACGAGGCACAAGCTCTCGGATATCCGGATCCTGATGTCTTGTCAGTATAGGTGTAATTATGGAGATCAAATGACTGAACATACCATCGGGTTGACCGTTTGCAGGACCACTTCCAGCCATGTCAGGCGCGGCATAATGTTGGTCTGCAGCGACGAAGTAACGGCAACGCCAACAGACAGACCCACAATAGGCGAAAGGCTGGTGAGGTAGGAGGGATTCAACCGCACAAACAGGTTGTCAAACAGATCAGCCTGCTGGGAGGATTGGAGCCACTACATGACAATTAGCAAAGTCCGTAAAAGTCTCATAAGTAGAGAACGCACCTTGACTGAACCCTCTTCATACCGACCCGCGTGGATCAGTTCAGCAATTTCTTCCAATTCAATTTGCTCAGGAGTTCTCGTGTCAGCAACCGCAGGCGCAACAGGCTGAGGCTGTTGCTGCTGCTGTTGCTGCTGCTGCTGCTGTTGCACTTGTTCCGGCTGGGTTACTGGGGAAGCCAGGGCACGATTGAGCCGCAAAACTTCGCCCTGGAGCTGTGCCTGTGCCGTCGCCATGGAGGAGACAGTCTCGGACAGTTCTCGCACGAGGGAGGTGAGCTGGTCAATCTTGGCGGCATCATTCTGACGCTGCAGCTCATACTGCCGAGCCTGAGCTTGCATCTGCTTCTCCATAGAGCTGGCGACCTTCTCCGCAGACTGGGCAGCAACGTTCCGGATAGCGGGGGCAACGGTGTTGTGGACAGCCTTCGAGACCTCGTTCTCTACCTGGATCGCCAGCTTCTGGCCCACAGCATCCGACAAGACTCTCATCAAGTCGGGGTGCTGGACGGCACGATTGACGGCTTCAGGAAGGGCCTGGCGCAGTTCACGGGGCACAACCCCTCCAATCTGCTGAGCAATAACGGTATTGAGTTGCTTGCCGACAGCGGCGGTAGTAAGATCGCTTAAAGCAGGCACGACCTCGGTCTGAATGTTACTCGATACGATGCGAGCCAGGTTCTTCTCCACATTGTCAGACAGGGTGCTAGAGACCAAACGTAGAACTTGATCCTGCTTGGCTGCTGAGGCCGCATCCCAGCTACGACGCTCTTCATCAAAGCGCTGGTACAACCCTTCTACTTCACGGCCAAGGCTCTTGCTGAACTCAGACGAGACAGCACTCTGCAAGGCCTCCAGATGCTTATTCAGAGCAACCGCAGAGTCAACAGCGACAAGGCCAGATCCAGAGGGCGCCGGGGGAGCAGAAGTTGAAACTGGGGTAGGCGCAAGAGATGCCTTCTGTGCATCGCCATTGAATTGTTCGCCACTCACAGGAGTCTGAACAGAAGCAACAAAGTCACCAGTGACGGACTCAATTGCAGTTGCAGGCTCCTTGCCCTTGACGGATGGTTCACCCGTGGGGGTGGCTGTCGCAGCACTCTTCTTCTTCTTCTTTTTATCAGCCTTGTCGGTGCTATTAGCAGCAGTAGCAGCCTCGGGCTGTTCTTGGGCGGGCTTCCTCGTCACCAACTTCGTGGGTGACTGAGTACGCAGAGTGCTAGGACCGGCGGCAGCAGGAGCAGCGGCAGCCTCAGTGTTCAATTCGGGGATCTTCTTCGCGATCTCCTTAACTGCAGGCTTGGTGGGAGTAGGGGCAGAATCACCGTTGACCGACGGCTCGTCTGCTACATATGTGGGGAACGTTTGCAGTTCAGCAATGTCGATGAGGCCTTCTTCCAACGCATTGATCGGGCGAATGATCTTGTTGTCCGAGGTCCAGCCCAAGTCTTCTTTCTTGATGTTCAAGCACGTCACTCCACGGGAGTGCATAACGTAGAGTTCGAACAGGCCACTCTCATCGCCAGCGCTCTTAGTGACCGGGAGAAGGTCCAAGCTGCGCAGCTGTCCCTTCGAAGCGAAGGAGATCTCCCGGATGCCACTCATGCATGCGGTAGACTCCGGCTTGGGCAAACTGCTATCCTTCTCACCCGAGCGCTTGATGAAAGAAGCCTGCGACATAGCCTGCAGGTTGTACCTGGGGGCGGACAGGTGGACGAAGTAGATGGAGTTCCTGGTGGGATGTCCGACGACGATGATGCCGGACGCAGGGTGGTAGGCAACACTGCAGATGGCGTCCGACTCGTTCTCATGGGGAAACTTGAGCTCCTGCACAGCCTTGCCCAGCCCAATATCCCAGAGCTGCAGGGTGTGGTTCTGCTTAAGACCCACCAACACGTAACGAAGCGCCATCGACTTGACATATGGGCGTAGCTTGTCGATGAAGAGCACCGAAGTGGGCCACGACTTCTCGGTAGGGGAACCAGTGACGAAAGTGTTCAATGGAACTCGTACCTCAGCTGGGCTAGGTCCAGCGGTAAAGAAGGCGGGATTGCTAATCGCCTCCCGGATGTCCCAGAAACGCAGTCTACCGGTCTTGTCAAGAGAGGCAATGACCGTGTCGTCGTCGCTGAACATGAAGTCCTTGCCGGCCTTGCCGGTCGAGATTTTCAGAGCACGCTCCTTGAAGAACTTCTCAGTGTTGACGACGCGTTGCGGGCCTGCGACGCCATAGCTCGGATTCATAGCAGCCTGTGGCGAAACGACGTAGATGTTCTTTCCGCGGCCAATGGCAAAGAAACCAGGATGGCGAGAGCTCCGTTTGGCCCGCGTTTTCAGCTGGCCGCCCGAAGTGTTCTCGTCTGAGGCCGGGAAAGGTGGGAAAATGAGGCTCTCACTCTCGAGAGCGTCCAGTTCGAAAAGATCCTTATCAGCGCGTGAGATGAGGGCCCAGTAAACTGCACCGCTCACGCCAATACCAAGGAGCGCCTGCTCCTCGGTGCTGCGGCCGGTTACCGCCTGCGAAGTGCAGACAGCAACGTTAAACACGCGATCACGAGCGGAGCGGAACACCTGCTTGTCACTTCCGTCATCCTGGCGAATAATGCGCATGCCTCCGTTCTTCGCCAATGCATAGACAATGTAGTCGGAAGTAGCGGACGTCAAAGAGCGATCAAGCTGATCGAAGTCCTTCTTGAGCCGAGCGATGTCCATGATGCCGTCATCTCGCAGAGTCGCAAGTTTCCCAGTGTGGGCCTTGACGATGATAGAGATGAAGGGCTTCAGAGGGAAGTTGTGCACGGAGACGACACGCTCTTCCTCCTTCTCAGCGCTGTCCTCCGCGCTCTCCCAGCTGTCGGCGAGCGCATCACCACTGCCACTCTGAGAAGTCTCCTTCGCAGCAGCGGCCGGGGCGGCGGCTTCAGTTTCTTCTTTCTCGGTCTTGTTGTTCACAGCTTCAGTGTCCTCCTTCGCCTCAGCCGCCGTCTCGCGCAGGTGAGAAGCAACAGACGAGATAACTGCCTGAGTGCTCTCTTCCTGAGCCGACGCGATCTGAGACACCTTCTGCTCCGCAGACTTGGAAGCAGCAGTATCCACCTCACGGCTGATTTCCTCCACGAGCTTGTCAACCACCTGCGTGACAGCTTCCTTCTGCTCCTCGGCCAGGACGGGCGATGCGGCGCGTTTATCCTCGGTGGACTCCACGGGATTGGGCGCCGGCACGTTCTCGGCCTTGGCAGCAATGCTGACCTTCTTGTTCTTCATGATTTCCACGGCTGGACTCTCACTGCGAGACTTGGGCTGAGGAGACTTGACTCGAGGGGAGGCGGCAGCCAGCTGCTCAAAAGGATTGACGTAAGTGAACATCGATTCCTTCCCAGAGGGCCTGTCCAGTTTCCCAGACAACGGCTCCTCCGGACGGGCAGTCGACTCTCCGACAACCGGACCAGATGGCTGCAGGATATTTCTCAACTCTGCCTCCGGCACAGGGGACTTGATGGGAGAGACAGTAGATGGAGACTGAGAGACAGGTCTCACAGGTCCCTCCGACACGTCCTGAGCGGGCTTGGGGCGGTTCAGCAGACGAAGCAACATCTCCTGAGTATTCTCTGCGGTCGGAGCAGCAGAAGAGGAGCTCTCCGCCACGCCGGGACTCGCAGCCGCAGCCCCAAGCTGACCAGGGTGAGTACCCGCCGGTCTAACAGGTGGGGCAGTGGATTGACCCTGTCCAAAGAGCGACGCGACAAGGTCGGACGCAGAGATGTTCCTCGCATGGCCCGAGGACGCCTCTTCCGGAGCAGCAGCACGCGCCTGAGGGTATTTGGGCTGATCGATCCCAGCCATCACCGCCGGCTGCTGCTGCTGCTGCTGAGCAGGAGCGGCCGGAGGCTGGTTGAACTTGAGAAGGTTCAACAGATTGACAGCACGGTCGGGGTTTTGCGGCAAGGGCTGATGATGCGGCTGCGGCTGCTGCTGGGGATAAATGTCCGCACGCGGAGTGGAAACGTTGGGACTGAGAATATCCGAGCCATGATGAGGCGGAGTATTAAAGGGCGACGGGCTGTGGATATTCGACGAAACGGATGGATGACGGTAGCCGTGGTGGTGGTGGAGGTGTTGAGGGTGAGGGTAGCTCTGGCCGTCATAGGGCGGCTGGAACTGCTGCTGCTGGCGGTAAGCAGGC